ACGTAATCAACGAAAGCCAGGCCTCATGAGTTTATGGACTCACGCCCTTGCAGCAGACATCGATTCGCTTTTTGCCTGATGATGATTCGTGAGCCAATTGTTGAGCAAAAAATCAAATGAAATCCATCTGATGATGACTGATGGATGTCGAGGTGAGCACTTTCGCAGGCGAGTTTTTGCAGACTAGGCGAGGATTGCCAAACCGATTGCTCAACTTTTCGTCAACAGTCATCATTGGACGGAAATGAGCGTCGAGCTCTGTAAGTAACTCTCACAATATAGGAAAGATAGCAGTGTGGGGGTCTCCAAAATAATAATATCTGTCTCCGGGCGTTGCACACTGGACCGATTCAATATGAGAAGTCGGACAAAATCTGGCAACTTTCAAAGTTTATATTCTCGAAAAATGGAATCAAAAAGGTTCAAAAGTAATTCCATTGGTTTTGCGAGAAATTTCTTGTGAGTAACACCCCTCGGAATTGAATTCGTGACGGAATGAGCATCAGAATTTGAAATTATAGCCAAACATCCCATGTCTGACCTCTACTGTTAGCTCGTGCCACTGTGCCTCGCTTTTGGGAAGGACCTACGTCGAGGCCAGAAGCACCGCTCAACGCTCAACGTTTGACGTTCACCGTTGAACGTTGCACACGGAGCCGCGGCAGACAACGCAGGTGATTGCAACTGGCGCACAGTGGATCGAGTCGATGGAAGAGGTAGGACAAAAGTTGGAAACTTCAAAAACTTATAACTCCGTTCATACAAAACTTTGAGGTTTTAAAAGTGGTTCCATTTGTTTCCTCGTGAGATTTGCCTCTCGAAGCACCCCTTCAAATTCAAAATGTGACGAATTAAACATCGAATTTTGCAATTCCAGTCAAAAATTTCATGCTCGGCCGATGCGATCGACTCGATCCATTGTGCGGCGGCCGCTGGCGCGAGACGTGCGAATTCAGCCGGAAATCTCTCTGCTCGCGACAATCCAGACGATCAGCGTTTACTCCAAATATTTTGACGGAAAAAGGGAGGGAGGAGGGGGAGAAGAGAGGGGAGGAAACTAGAATGACGGCGCGCCGCAAGGCTGACAGNTCTGTGCTGGCTTCGTGTGCGAGTGCGAATGGGATGTCGTTCCTCTGTTTTTCATTCGTTGCATCCACCCGGAATCCCCCCTCCCCATCTCTGCCGTCACGGTATGCCGAATTACCGGTGACAAACTCAACAGAGGAGACTTTTCTTTTCCATTCTGACACACCTCTCGGTGCTGTCATTTTAAAGTGAGAACCTGGATGAGGAGAGTGTGGACAGAGATGTAATTCTGAAAATCCATGAAGCCTTCACCGATACCTCCGCAAATAAAGTTAAAGCTTACCCTTGGAATCTTAGTTAGTTAGTTTGGGAAGTATAAGTAACACACTTTTTCCGATTGTTTGACCCCTCCCCCTTTGTAACGCACCCGTAACGCAACCTCGGATCGTGTTACCCACGTGGTCCTTGAAGCACCAATACAAATACGACAAACGGAGCCGACACAACATGGAAATGGAGAGAGAGAGAGAGAAAGGACGCGCGCCACAGCGCGTCATCAAAACGACGGCGCAGAGAAACAACTATTCGTACTCGATGGATGTCCGTGTGGTATCCGCAAATTGAAGGCGCCATGGCGTGAACTTGCTTTGCGCCGCTCTATGCCGCAAATCAAGTGTCGCTTAGATTCGGGAGAAGAATTGCTCAGTGGCGTCATTTTAAAGTCATTGCTTATGAAAATTACACCTTGAAATTTTGACCCACTTTTCTTAAGAGTATTAGAAGGCATTCTGTATCAAAAACTGAGAGTCGATTTTTTTTACTCCAAATCGGGTATTTTCCGCGCAATGGGCAAATTCAGTTTCCAACTGCAAGAGGCCCCTTACCATGACTCCATCGCATATCTAAAAAAGATTCCCTATTTCTTACCCTGACAGTTGGTCCGTTTGTAGATTGTAGCTTTGACTATGAGAAAAAAATGTACAATTTTGGAGAGTCAAGGAGCGTATACTATCGCTTCAGGTAGATTCGGGGTTGATTGTAATTATTGCATTTTAAAGCAAGCCATGTGGATGTTTGAGTTGAACAGGGCTTCTCTATTAACACTCCGAGTTGGTTTGTTCAATTCACACCCGATGGTACAGTTTTAAAAATTGCGATGAACGAAGATCGTGCTCATGAACGCTACAACAACACGGGGATACGGCAGACAACCACATTGCTTTGACCAGTGCGTTACAGAATTTACAGGAAAAAAACTCGTCGGTTCAGAATAAAATGTTGGAATCAATAAATGAGCAGAAGCGGGTTAATATCAAATGATAAATAACGAGGGCGTTTGCTTGGTTGCTGACGGAGGCAGAGACACGATGCCACATTCACACTTGGACTACATTTTGCAATTCAGAACTGTTACTTCTAGCTCATCTGTAAAAACACTTATGCCCATAGGAAAACCAATAACACTAACGTTATTTCTAAACTGAGGCAGAAATTATAGTTCTTAATTGCAAAATGTGGTCCACTCGTAATATAGTGAAATAAAAAAGAGTTTTTCCTTCGTACACTTTTCGATTGCATCTGCTTTAAAATGCGTTTCCGTGACGATGCAAGGTCAAATGGAGCTTTTGCATGCCTCAGGGATTTGCGACTAAGTGCTTTTTCATAATCTTTTTTTATGAAACATCCCCATCACGTTCTTTCAGGGGGTACCCGATCCAAAATTTGTTTGGACAACCCTTCCTTCAACATCCCTTGCTGCCGTACTGAGGAAAAACGCCGAATGAACCTTCGGGGGCTGCCAAATTTCCTTGGATAAATTACGAATTTTCGAGAAAATGTTACAATATTTTCCCTCTCATTTTCGGAGAATTTTGTATGTAAGATCTAAAGTTTCTGAAATTATCAAGAAAAAATATGCATGACTTTCTTCAAAAATGGATGTCTTCTGATAGGAAAATTGGCAATATTCGAAGGCTATTACGGCGTAATCCTTAGCACGGTAGTATATGACACTAACTGCCAGCGGGTCGATTGTTGAGTCAATATCGAATGGCCTTGATCGATATATAGCATTGTGCAGATAGGGAGCTATCGATCAAACTCTTTCTATAACGATTTAACAATCGATCCGCTGGATATGAGACCGTGCACAATGTTACTTTAAACCTCCACAACGGACCTGATTGGTCGAATCTGATAGCAACGCTGTCCACTAGTGTTTGTGAAAAATGGGACAAACCGAGGCAGACATTTCCAAAGAGGCTCGGAACATTAAATAAAATGGAGATGTTGCGTGTGTGAGGAATTTGCGATTTGACTGTTAATTCTTATTTAAAATTTCGCTAGAAACACGATGGTGCCACTGGTTTTCTCTGAAATCAACTCCCAAGCTCCTCAAGTTAAGGCCAAAATGGAGGGGATATCCCACCCTACCCTGAGAGTCCATCTCTAAATCAAGACAAACTCTCCATGCAAAGATAGGGAGCAAATACATCGACAGGGCTGCCACTTTATTTGGAGAATCTAAAACTGAAAACACGGCATGTCTGCTAATGTATTTATGCTCCCTATCTTTGCATGAAGAGTTTGTCTTGATGTAGAAGTGGACTCTCAGGGTAGGGTGGGATATCCCCTCCATTTTGGCCTCAACTTGAGAGCTTTTTTGAGCTTGGGAGTTGATTTCAGAGAAAATCAGTGGCACCATCGTGTTTCTCACGAACTTTTACACAGAAATCAGTGGTAAAATCGCAAATTCCTCACACATGCAACATCTCTATTCGCTTTCACTCGTACCGTCGTGCCGATGCGACGCGATTTGCAGTTTGAGAAATATGACAACAATGTGCTTCCAGCCCGCATTTAACTCTGAGTCTCCAGCAAAAACTGCAACTGAGCGGAACATTATTCGTTTTCAATTATCTTTCTCGATTAATCCACCATCAGGTGGAGAGGCGGGGTTGAGGAATGCGTTTATGCTGAAGGCGGCTGGAAGCACGACCAAAGAGGCTGAAGAAAGCATCAGGAGGTAAATTTACAATGTTTCCCTGATTTTTGACTCCTTAACTCCTTAACTCCTTAAGCACCATTGGAAGAAAGAAATTGATAGATTTGGGGGAAGCTGTCTGTTGCAATGAGCATCGTCGAAATAAGTAAGGCGTTCACGATTTTTCTGTAAGTTGGTGAGGGTACTTTTTATAGGATACAAAAGTGTTCCTCACTGTGTTTGTGCATTGGTGAAAACAACCAATAGGGGAATTAGTCCAGTCAACGAAGGGATTCTAGTGGAACAAACTGGAGAAAAACTGAATTTTTTACCATCGATTATACACTTCAAAAGGAGTGTTTTCTTCAATGTGAATTAATGAAATGGGTCAGTTGCGCTGGCCGCAAAATTGTGCTTTGATGCTTGATTCTTGTAGATTAGCTAAGAATATTATGCTCTGTCCAAGCAGCAACTTTCTGGGTTCAATTTTAACCGAGATATCGCCCTTTGAAAAGTTGGGGTTTTGGACGTCATCCACCGCGGTAGTGACAATCTTGGTCTCTGCCACATTTGCATTCATCTAAGTTTCACGTTGAGTAACCAGTGCAAGTGTGTTTCTCTGTGACTAATGAAACCAAGGCGAAAGAAATCTAGGGTGTCACTACCGCGGTGGATGACATTATACACCGACTTTTTTAAAGCGCAACATCTCGGTCAATATTGAATGCAGGAAGTTGCCGTTTGGACGGGTCTTATTTTTAGTTAATCTACAAGAATCGAGCATCAAAATATGATTCTGTGTCCAGCGTAACTGGCCCATGGACAATATTTTGTATACTCTTGACGCATATCACGCGATTTTCGATGTTGAAACAAGTTTTATGATAGTTACTTTAATTATGAGCCTGTCTAATGGTCGAATCGAAGACGACAAGTTAAATAGAGGCGGAATGAAGACAACATGAAAGGAATTTATGATGAGACGACTAACCTGTAATCTAAGTTTGAGCACGAGTTCCTCGAGTAACCCTGGTTCACAGTCTTGAAAGATCTGAACTTTGCGCAGCGTCTCCAGGTGGACGTGGATTGCGATCTCGGCTTTGAGCTTATCCGGCAAAGCAGCCAGCACTCTGTCCTCGTCCAAAGCCTGCATTCAGTAATTACGGAAAAATGAGTCCATTCCACAGACATGATATCCGAGTTTCAAGGTTTATCTTCAGCATGAGATAAAAATCCACGATATCGCAATGCAAAAATCTGACCCCAAAATCAGCGATCATTTTAACAAAATGACAGATACGATTAATGTTGCTTGAGTGCAATATGATTGGAAAATCTAGCAGCACACCTCCAGAATGAAATAAAATGGACAAGCTCATGTGGAAGTTCAAGTTCAAGTTCAAATGGATATTTGGATCGCGTTTTGCAGAAAGGAATCAAGCCGTCAGCGTGACACGCGCATAGGTGCCTACAAACCTAACGGAATACTTCACGCGTTGCGCAATGCGTGAAGTATCCCGTTAGGTTTGTAGGCGCCAGCGCGCGTTCTGCGCTGCTAACACGCCGCTCCGCTCTGTGTTAGACTCTAATATTTAAACTCGCGGGGTCAGCGTTTTTCAACTCATGATTTCGAAATGTTTTCACTCTCTGCATTGATTATTCCCTTTTAAACTGATGAAAAAGAAATATGTACTACTGGAAAATATAATGTGTTTTTTGTAAATGTAATAGTGGTTCCGTGTCAAATTTAATGATTTCCAAAGCATTCAAATTTATTATTTTATGTTTTGGGCTTTTACTGTGCTGCAGCGTGGTGTAAGCGCAACTAGACGCTCAAAATCGGACGTATTAAACTCAAGGAGGTCGATGTACACATAAGTTAAAAACAAAAAATTGAGTGCTTCTTAGTTTTTTTCCTCTTTTATTAATTTTCGTATAGTTCCTTTCGTCACAAATACGGCTCATTGAGATTCATATCGATGCCATTGCTTGGAAAAGGTTTTACAAATATTTATCACGCTTTAAAAATGTAAATGTTTTTAAAATGAAGTAATCAATTCCATTAAAAAAAGAATGTACATTTAAGGCATATTTTATATCGGAAATTTCAAGGTTAGAAATGAAACCAAGTATTTATCAAAGACAATTTGAAAAGATGAATCAAAAGAAGAAATAACATTTCATTTAAAATATGAGTTACGATAACAGCACCTCATTCTCTCTTAATTTTCTCATTTCAATATTGTCAATATAATTTTACACACGGACTAAAATATGACGCTTGAATTTGATTTTAGTGGACTTCACATTTGTGGACTTAACTTAGTGGACGTTTAAGTAATGGACTTAACAATAGTGTGGGCTTTAGAACTGTGGACGTAAAAATTGTGGACGTAAAAAAAGTGGACATAAAGTCCGTGTACCCTGAAGAGAAAGAAGGTAATGAAAAAGTTTTTCTAACACTGATCAAATGGAAGTTAGATTATACAAATGCCGTCATTGGTATTTTTGCCATTCAACCAATGTTAATTATAAACATTTAGATTACGTTTACGAGTTGATTTTTAGACCTCCCATTGTGTGATTTGTTTTCCTCTTGCAATAATAAAGTGAAAAAAAGGTGCGCACCGCTTTATTTCATACCTTGTCTGAAGACTGATCCTAAACTTCGAAAATAGTACAAACATCCTGTTGAAATCGATCATGTTAGTAAGTGAAATACGGTTTTATGTTGACGCCAACACGGTGCAGACATGCCATCAATATGATACCAAAATGACACTGACTTGGTCTCAAGATTGATCCTCATTGGTACTATTTTGGACATTACTGGGCAATTCGACCATTCTAATACCGTGTTAATACCATGTTGGCGTTAACATACCTCACTAATAAGGCCGTTTTTAAGAGGTTGACTTTCTCTGGAACTATAATTCTTTAAACTGCCAACTTTAATACCTCATGTCTCCCTGAACTTCAAAATCCCCGTTTAAATCGGTGTTAATGGGCGTTCTCTGTTCCTGGATGTTTGTAGATCACATATCTATACTCCGGTATTAAAAACGCAATTTTGATCTAGTGCGAACCAAAATCCATTCATCCGAGGACATTCATAATTCGTCGTCTCCCGCACGAAGGAACGTAACTCCAATCCAAGGTTGCCAAATTTACTCCAACAATTAATTTATTTTACAAAAATGTAAGTGTGCAATTTATATCCAAATTTGTCTGATTTTTGCATGAAATCGGAAGAAAAATCAGTGAAATTTTCAGTTAGAAATGCCCAATACTTTTCTGGTTAAAATGCAATTTACGAAAGGAAATTTGGCAACATTGAAATGTAGCTACGTTCTTTCGTGCGGAAAACGACGAATTGCAGTTTTATCCCGTTAGATTTGGATTTATTTTGTATCACAAGCAGCCAGTTATGCTGCCGTACTAAGGAAGGACGCCGTACGGACATTCGAGAGTTGCCAAATTTCCATCGATAAAGCATGAATTTTTGACAATGTTTATGCATATTTTTCCTCAAAATTTTCAGATATTATAGATTAAATTGCGTACATAATTGTCTGAAAATTTTGGAGAATAATATTCGCGCAATTTTCCCAGTAAATTCGGTTTTTATTGAAGGAAACCTGGCAACGTCTGATGGCTCATACGGCGTTTTTCCTTAGCACGGCAGCATGGGGAGTCGAGTCTAACGCCCCCAGTTGACGGTAGAAAGCGCCAATCAATGACTCACTCCGCTCTTCCCGCGGATAATCTAACCTCCGGGAGCTGTTTTCTTTCATCGCACCGCTGCTCCGCCCTACAGAGCGAGAACCCCTCAACTCTAAGTGTACTCCCACGCGCACATACGCGGTTTCGATTGAGTTCTCCGCGCTGAAATGTATTGGATCATGCCATGGCGCAGTTTATACGTCGACGGCATTTTCACGCTTTATTCGGAACAGATGGACTCTTTCATAGCAGCGCTTCGGTTCGCGCTCTGTCGGCGAAAATTCTCGCTCCCTTTCAAATCCACGCGATGAAATGAAACAGAATAGCGCTCGATACTTTTGTAACCCCTGTTCGAGGCGCTTGATATTAGCATTATGTGGAGCTCCTAAACGCAGAGGAAGCTGCATGAATAGTGGGGTCAAAGTGGTAGAGATCTTGATGGAGTTGGATGAAACCGGTTCAAGATATTCGATGAAAGTATCTAAAGCCTGAATTCTATCGTTTGACATCATTGAGACAAACCGGTACACAATAAATGGATTCAAGTCGAAATTTCATCAATAACACAGTTTAGCAGAGTTCGGTGATAGGAGCCACAAGATACTCTTCAAACAATTAAGGATAGTTTTGGAGCTTGCTTACAGCTTCATTTCCTCGTAAAATTCAATAATTGCAAAAAAATGTAGTTTGCGGTGTAATCTGGTGTTTGTTTTTAGTATTGAGCCTCGCACAGGATGGAAACTGTAGGCTCGTAAACGTTTTTCTCTGTTCAGCGTTTTTGTCCATAGACAATATCGACGGTGTGAGTCGGCAATTACATAACTCGGTTTGCGTCGTCGCAGACCTCTTGTCATACTTTATTTTTTAAACGGAAAACTACTCAACGACAATTCTTTGAAACTACCGGGATTTTTTTTCTCTGTGCAAAGAAAATTCTGCAAAAACTTCAAGGGATGATGTCAATTTGTTCTACTTAAAAAAAAAAAAAAAAAAAAAAAAAAAAAAAAAAAAAAAACCGGAGATTTTTAGACACCGCAAACGAGATATATGATCGCGGACTTACGCCGTCCATATATTTCACAGACCACGCATTATAATACCCTGATCGATGTAATCGGGTGCGGAAATGATTAATTTGAGAGGTAAACGTTATTTCCGCTAAATGATGATTGGTGAACAACTCGTTGAGCAAGAAGTCGAACAAAATTAGGTGATGATGACTGATGAATGTCGGATTTAGTACTTAGCTGGTTGAGTTTTTGGAAATTAAGTTAAACAAGGATGCTGAATCAAACATTTTTTTTTTTTTGCAATTACACTGAAAAAAAAAAAAAAGTTCGGTTGATCCGAACGAATTATAGGATCATATGGAACCAGGTTTTGATCGGTACACACAATCGAATTATTCCGCCTGTTCAACCGAATTGTTCGGTTTGTGCGACCTAACCATAATAAATTCTTACGGTTCGGTTCAGTGAACCGAACAGTTTGGCTTAGCAGACCGAATAATTCGGTCGTGTGTACCGAACAAAATCGTGGCTCCATATGATCCTAATTAGTTCGGATTTACCGAACTTTTTTTTTCAGTGCAGGAACTTCCATAAATGGACGCATTTCTGCCGAACGGAACTATGTGCATAATGACGTGAGCCTTGAGCCCTGATATGCATAAATTCTTATGGGTTCCAGGGCTCGTGGCTTGATGCACGTAGTTCCGTTTATCAGCAGTGCGTCCCAATGTACTCCAGTAAGTACTGCGTAAAAAAATGATGGAAGAGAAGAAATTGTCGGGGGTTACGGTTACCTGCTTGTTGGCCCAGGTGTATGCGAACCAGCGTATGACCCTGGCCTCAAGCTCCTTGGACACCCGTCGGAAAGCCATGTACTGCTTGACGCCGTCCATGCGGTTCTGGAACTCGACCCTGGCCACGTTCATGTTGCTGATCATCGACCCGATGTTCCCGACGATCGTGGCGAAGATGAGCACCCCGGCCAGGAAATCCGCCACCACGAACAGATACTCGGCGTCGTTCTCCGGCTGCGGCGTCTCCCCTGCACAAAGTTGCCACGTTGTGCCATTAAAGTCATAACATGGGTTTAAATGGGGAATAGTGCTGGTTTTTCTGCACAAACTGACAACAGTGCTCCTCGAACCCGCAACAGCACATCGGAAATTACGCGCATTGGCTCAGTCGTTAACAGCATAGCAGGTTCGTTACTGGGATTGATAGATAAAGCTAAGCACGGCGTCTACTGTCAGTAAAAGTCGGAGAGATCGGAAAATATCAGGATATTTGATATCATCAGGAAAAATCTGGAAAATGTCTGGAAAATTGAACCGCGTTAAGTAGAAAGGAACCAAGCCACACCAGTTACTGCCAAAAATTAGGTTCTTTAATTTTTTACATGAAACCGGTTGTACGGATTTTTGTGCAAATTTCAGTGAATTTTCTGCATCGCACGAAACAAATTCCTTAAAATTTTCTTAGGAATTCGCACGAACGTTCTCTTGTAAAGAATTGAATTGCCCGGTTAAATTTGGCAACAGCTGATGTGGCTTAGTTCTTTCCGCTAAACGTGGTCTAATTAGTCATGGATTAGGGATTTCTGAGTACTTCAAGCTTGTTTCAAAGATTGGACATGGAATCAATTAATTAAATATGTTGATTTTTTAAATCAAACGAGTGTCAATGTATTTAAGCGAAAAATCAGGAAATCTCGTCTAAAATATCAGGGAGAAATCAGGAAAATATCAGAAAAATCCACAGTTAAATTTTAGTAGACAACCTGAAGTACAGGAAAATGAGACATAAGTGAAAATGGAGCAATCCTGTAGGTGGAAGCACGTGGTTGCAATGGTTGCAAGACTGCACCCCACAGCAACCCACGAAATACCCTACACTCAGTTCATTAGTTTTCCCCTCAGTCTACAACGACTATCCGTTTCAACCGATAGGATTGCTAAAGCTTCCATTCGTCTCCTATGCCTATCGTCTGTTTATCAACTTCAATAATCAGCCAACAGAGTTATATTTAAAGTCGTTCTTTGAACAACTCTTTCTTTATGGAAACCCAATGTCATTCTCACTCTTTTTAAGGGAGGTTTAGGGATGCAATTTCACGAAAAATGGTTAAAATTCAACAGTTTAAGCCCTCAAACTGTGGCAATAACTTGCCGTCGTACGTGTGCGCGCGTCACACCGAGCTTGGAAAAATTGGCGCTCCTTCAATAAAGTGCATAAGCAATACGCACAACTGTGGAGTTCGAATAGTCGCATGCTGGCGCCTTCAGTAGTAGAACATCGCCTCGTCGGCCGTTATACATACTTGGAGAAGGTGAATGAACGCGCTTTTTCATTGAAAAATTTTACAAGTGTCATGAGCAAATTGATGAAAGTTAATGTTTAGAACTTTTGAAGAATATTTCATAAGAATTCTTCCCAACTCTTGCCCTGTCTCCTCTGCCCAGCGATACATTGTTGTCTGGTGATAGACCAGACTGGCAAATAATAGGAAACAATCGACCACTAGCCAAGGTAAAAATTCAAGCATTCTGAATTCTCATACATGCATCTTGACCAGAATCCCACGCGAAACACGAATCTTGCTTTGAAAATTTCTCAAATCAACTCCGAACTAAGATGTCACCTTTTTAGTTTATTTTGGTTACGGAAATTTTGAATAGCCCGGTCACAAGAAACGCAACACTCTACGTAAGTCCAAACGCGCATTACAACGGTTTCAGCGAGCTTCTCAATCGACCACTGTTCATTTCCCACCCTCACTCTCTGTTGTTCAAACTATAAAGAACTCACTAAAGCTGAGCCAAAGCGTCAAGATTGAGGCTGCTACATATTTATATAGCAGAGACTTTCATGGTAACGTTTAGTGGGCGATTTGACTCGCGTAGACCATTGCGTTTGCATGAGCGGGGGGTTTGAATTCACTCGTCAAAAAACATTAAATATCTTGGTTAGGAGTTAATTCCAGTAATTTTCGTTGCACGGATCTCGTTCTACGTAAAATTTTGATGAGAGGGGTAGAGAAGGCCAATGCTGGCCCAGTCAACTTTGATGTCCCTTTTCTCAGTATTTTCTCGCTATTTCTTCAAAAACTTTTTTTTAAGCTAGATTCCATAGAGTCTTTAAATCAATTAAACTTGAGGTTTTTTCGAACTTTGAAAAAATAAAAAAGTGTCTCTTTAAAAGTTTAGTTCAAGTTTTTGAGATAATTTTGACTTTGAAACTCCATAAACATGATTAAAATTAATTTTTTAAAAAAAAAAAAAAAAAAAAAAAAAAAAAAAAAAAAATCCCAATTCATTAGCTCTAAAGTGTGGACGAAACTATCTGAAATCGAATAAAAAATAAATAAAAGAAAAGACCCAACAGATCCTCAGAAAAGGGGCACTTTATGTTAAAACATGTGGTTGACAGAAAATCAGAGTTTCACAAAATAAGGGGAAAGAAGCACATAGAAACAAGTTAGTACAGTACTTAGACCTCCTCATTTTTAAAAGTCCCTCCCATCTGACCTCCTTATCAGGATTTCAAAACCTTGGTCTTATTTTACTCGTGAAAGTTTGCAGAGCATCACTTGCCAATAATAATTTTTCTTTCCTACCCAATTTAGTGACATGTATCAGAATATTTAACTTCATACCTTGTCCAGTGGTACAATGGGCTACATTTTGCGATTAGGGACTTCAGGTTCATCTATAAAACACTTGTGCGTAGGAGAACTAACGGTACATATGTTGTTCCTGACCTGAGCTAGAAATTATAGTTCCAATTGAAAACTGAAGTCCAGTTGACATCGGTGTTCGTGCGACACAAAGCGGAATGATTTAATGGAAGAGGTCGAACATGATGTGGAAATCTTGAAAGGTTATATCTCTGTTCATTTGTAACGTAGATGTTTAAAAGAGGTGCCATTTCAAGTAAATACCTTCAAGCTTCACCACCAAAATTCATAATATCATAGAATAAACATCTAAATTTGCAGTTTGGGTCAAAAACGCAATATCCATCTTCTCACATCGATTCACTCCATTGTGCGACATAGGGGAACGAAGAGGGGGGAGAGGGGGAGACAGCGCAGCGTGACAAAAGGCGACTAAAAAGGCGGCGCTGGAGCCAGAGCATGGAAAAACGCACACAGGATCCGAGTGTGAGATTCACCTAGAGCGGAGTCGCCTCAAAGAGCGGCACCGTCCGTTTATTAAATGAAGTCTGATACTCGTTCCCGGCTCCGGCCCCCGGCCTGGTAGGCAGCCCGCCGACCACCCGAGCCCGCTTTTTGCCGGCACCCCCTCCCCCGGCCCGGCTCGCCCACCGCACCCCTTTCTCAAATATTATGTTTCAAATACATAATTGAATTCGAACCGGGGCCGTCTCTCCTGCCTTTCGCCCCGTCGTTGCCGCGATGGAGCTTCCTGGAATTGGACCACTGTTTCCAATAAAGAACTGGTATATCTGCCTTATTAAAGGGCCACTAACGGTCGCTCCTCTGACGTAATGGCGTATCCTTATTCCCACATGAGTCCCGGAAGGGATGAAGTCATGTGGAGAGCAGGCACGGCTCACGTGGAGACTGACGTCCAGTGGCGTGGCGTGAATTGCGATATATCGATTGTTACGCCATTTACACCTATGGTAAAGAATCTATTAAGGTGATCGCTGCGAACACCCTGTTAATCGATCCTTTTCCATACGTTTAAGTGGCATAGCAATCGATATATCACAAAACACGTCACGCCACTGCTGACGCACGATTCGACTGTGAGGGAAACGCGCCAAGTCGCATTTGGGGAAAAAGTTGGTTGGTAAAGTATATAGATCGCTCTCGATAAGCCCTGTGTCTTGTGTTCACTCGTCAAAAGAGCGTCAAAACGGGAGCTCAAAGTGAATCGATAAATACGATCTGTTCGTGATTGTTGATCAAAAAAGAGGCGCGCCGCTCTATTTTGAGTTGCAGCACTCATCAATCGCATCAAGCCCCACCGTAGAGACTTTTATCGTTGAAATCGATTCATTTTGACGCCTTTTTGACGAGTAAAGACAGCGCTATGGTGGTTCGATGTATCGTTTGGTTCAAAACAATAGAGAAACTATAATTATATTAAAAAGAATAATAGAGAAAATATAGAGTGTTTATATTAATAGAGAAAATATAATTTGGTTCAAAAACAAATTTTAGGACTTAAGTTGGAAGAGCTGAAAATGAGCTGAATACTCGTTTAAATAAACTTTATTTTTGATAAACCCTTGTGCGAGTATTATAAGATTGAGAGCCTTTTAGAGTAATTTCATTGAAAAGCATGCTAAAATGTTAAGATATGCTTACCTATGGTGGTTAAAGTAAGCGTAGACCAATAAAAACTGTAGATGTACTGCCTGGAGAGCGTGGCGTTTTTGGCGCCGCTTAGATTGTAGACCCAGTTATCAGTACCGAACCCTATCACATAACTGATTGCAAAATAAAAACAAGAATTCCAATGAATTAGGACTAGAATGGCGAAAACGACTTTACAAATTCTGAACACGTTTGGGTAACCTGTCCTCGTTTCGGTTCGGTCGAAGAACTCTAACATGCGCGGAAGGCGGAGCAACCGATTGGATCGCACTATCACAGGACACGGAACTACATTAGAACTACAGCTTCCGGAAGGCCACCAGAAGTAAGCCACGTCGGTCGGCACCAGGCTCAGCAGGTCCGTCCGCCATCGCTTCGAGCGAAAGTAGTTGTTCCGCAGCTTCCGGGAGTCGCGTACCATTAGCCCTTGGTCCAAGTACCCTGCAACACACAAAATCAACATTCATAGTTCAGGGAACCATTTGTCCTTTCATTTGGACATATTGTTATCAAAGGGAACCAAGCGCCATAGGGGAAGGAAAGGAGAGAGGAGCTTAGATTGGCAGGTGTTGCGGGACGCAATGCTTTTCCATGACGCTTAGTTCCGTCAGAACGCGCTATCCGGGATTTTAAAATCCTCGAAAGGAACTGAATTTGGCGCTTAGTTCCGTTTAACAGAAATACGTCCATTTGTGAGAAGAGAATGCGGTTTCGTACTCTGAAAAAGAACTTCGGCCGTGGAAGCTGTGCTTGCGGGCTTCAATGACATACCATCCTCTTTCCGGGCTCAGAGGCCGAAAGCTCCGGGCATAATACCCGAAGCAGTCGAAGTTACGGCTTCAACACCAGGAACTTCCGGCCTCTGAGCCAGGAACAGACGGTATGGCTAAGTAGCCCGCAACTTTTTTTTTATTTTATTTTAGTGTACACGATTTGTTTGCCTGATTCTGATCGACTAGGGTCTCTCAGACCCGAGGAGTGTAATCGGATAACATTCAGCAGTAGGGCCATACCTCCATAGGGTGTTTTGAAAAAAAAAAGAAAAGACAAAGAAAATGAACGAAACACATTTTGAAATGGACGTATTTATGCTAAAAGGAGATATGTGCAAGTGGAAAGATGGGGTGTGCTCGTTAGTTGGGTCATAAGAAACAGTGTAAAAGTGGATATAGCTCCTTTTGAGAAAATTGAAAAGCGGGATTTGACATTAAATCAAAAGGAGCTAAGCGGCAAAATATGCTAACTCATGAGCCGCGGGCATGGGAAGAGAGCGTTGTGGACAGGGCTCACGAGTTACAGCGCCCCGACGACCATCTCCCCGCCGTTAGAGTGCGCACTCACTGCCGCTGACGTCACTGGCGCACAATATTCCCCATTCATTCTTATGGCCCGACCACTAACGAGCACACCCCATCTTTCCACTTCCACATATCTCCTTTTCGCATAAATACGTCCAAATAGCTTAAGACTTTGTACAAGGTTCCCGTAATTACATCATCTTCCGATTTCTTGGTTTTTCCCTAACTGTTTTGCTTTTCCTTGTTTCTTCTCTAACTCTTTTACTTCTCCCTGACTATTCCCCAACTTTCTTGCTTTTCCCTGCTGACTTCAAACTTTTCGAATCCCTTGCGACTTTCCCCGATCATTGGACGAAAATTCCACTTTGACTTTTCTCCCTCCTAATTTTATGCTGACTCCTGCTACATGCCGCACGCAAAATTTGCTGCATTTTCCTATGAATTTTCTGACTTTTCCAGGTTGCTACAAATCCCTGACTTTCCAGGTTTTCCAGGATGTAGGATACATTGACGGGAAAACTCCCAACTGTCGCTTGCGATGTTTGAAAATCTCAGCTCCCATTTTACATTTTAAACGAGGACAAACCAACATCATTCCTGAGGGTTTTCACAGAATTTTTCAGAGTCACGGAAGTTTTTAAGAATTGACGTTGAGTAACTTCCCATTCCGAAGTAAAAGTATGATAGAAAAACTTCTAGACGCAACGCAACCTGAGATACGTGGTTTCAGAGTTTTATCGTCGATATATGGACGCATTTATGCTAAAAGGACCTATGTGCATTGGGTTTGCGTGAGATATAGTTCCTTTTGGCATAAACACGTTCATATTAGACGGAAACTCATTAGAATTTGACAGACAAAGAGGTGATAATAATAAAAGAATAATGAGAAGAAGAGTAGGAGGTAGAGGAGTAAAAAGTAGAAGAAGAAAAGAAACAAGAAGAAAAGTTCGCTTCGAAAAGGGACATTTTGTTATACCCGGATATAGGGAGATAACTTTACACTCTAGTCGATTGGTTCCGCGTTCGGGGAGGTTACCTTCAAAACGGATGATGTGAGTCAATAATTCAGTCATCGCTCTTTTGAACACTGTATCCTTAGGAAGACATCTGTGGCATTTTCAAACTTTAAACCGCTGATACTTAAATTGACTTGGTCAACTGGTCAGCTCTATCAAGGACCGGTACTGAAGTAAAAACAATGATCGTTCCCATATTTACGTATTAATCAGCCCAGATTTTAAATATGTAGCTGGGTAAAATCGTGATTTGACTGCGTGCTATGGAAAAATGCTGTATGAGTTCTAAACAGCGGTAGCTGCATGCTAGCGCGCGTTTAACCGAGCCAGAAAAATTGGCGCTCCTTCAATTACGCGCATATGCACCGTGCACAACTTCGGAGTTCGAATAGTCGCATGCAGGCGCCGTTACTGTTAGTGGCTTGCTGCGTTGAGCGTGTATAGGTGCGACAGTGAAGGTGAATAAATGCGTATTGCAAAATTAAATCAAATAGAATATTTTGAAGATTTCCGCTAGACGTTTTTGACATTTTCCATTTTATTGAAATTTTCGGAATGTATTCTGGAGGAAGCAGATTGACATCACACACATTTCCGTGCAATGATGATGGAAGTTTTAGTCAACATGTGAGATATAAAAGAAATATTTTTAATATATTTTTAATATCGGAAGTATGTAACCAGTTCTAAACGCAATCAGCATTTTTTCGAAATTTTCACGCCCGATTTTGGTTTGTGAATCTTTGTTACCGCACGAGTATTTGCGGTTTTCCGCAAGTTTAAAGTGGACACTTATTCCACGTCGAGCCATGCTGGGTCAAGTGGTGAACATGAAGTCAATTAGACTGACATCCTGCAGCGCGGTCCCATCAAAAGATCATTATTAGCCGTCGTTCGGTGCTCGCACAAAGCAAAAATGAAAGTAGGGAAAGAGGCCCCCCTATATATCCAAGCCTGCTGCCAATTTGATAGAGGAACTGAAATTCTTTTCAGATTAGAGCTCCTTCTTTGCCTCCCATTTTCCTCTTAAATCGTTGCTAGGCTCACAAAAGAGCGCAACCACATATTGGGATGAGCCCGGAAAAGCATTGAACTTAATGGACGACAGGGTTCATTGCAGATTGTAGTTTCATTCTCGTGTCAAGGAGGTGACGAAATATCAGCTTGTAATAGAGTGCTTTAAAGCATATCCGATCGGAGTATTTGCGGATCCATAAAATTGGCTTAAAATTGTTTTTCTCTGTTTAAACCTTTGGAAATCTATCGATTCTTGTAGGAGCCAGGNAAGAGGAAAAATCACAGAAATTTTCAAGACTGGACGTTAAGTAGTTTTTCATTTAAAAAATAAAGTATGACAGGAAGTCTGCGACGTCGCAAACCGAGATACGTGGTTTGGTAGTTTCACCGTCGATATCCGATCGGAGTATTTGCGGATCCATAAAATTGGCTTAAAATTGTTTTTCTCTGTTTAAACCTTTGGAAATCTATCGATTCTTGTAGGAGCCAGGTGATCCGACAAGAATCGATTATTTAGCGTAGGTTTTCATTGAGAGAATCCGTTGGCGTTGCCAAATTGCTGGATCTGCCTCCGTGTCGGAGACACGCTTTAAAGAGATGACTGGTGGGAACAGTCATAAAATGGATTACATCTTGCAATGAGGAACCACTATTTTTCCAGCAGTTGGTCTGGTATGGACATGTGCGAAGGTTGACAAACGATCGGTTGCCCAAGCAGGTTTTTGATTGGGTTCCTCCCGGAAGGCGACGACGTGGACGTCCTGTGAAACGTTGGCGACAAGAGGTGGAGGAGGAGATCAGAAGGTGCGCCAATTGCCTGATGATCTTTGAGAGGATAGGGGGGGGGGGGGATCAGGACATTTTTCAACGGTTTTTTGTCCGCGCACCTGTTTTGCCCAGTAGTTTAAGTCCTTGTGTGAAATTGGCATCAGTGACTTAGTCCAAGCGTCATGTTTTATAGTCCAAGTGTAAAATTATAGTGATAATATTGAAATGAGTAAATTGAGAAAGAAAGAGGTGTTGTTATGATAACTCATTTTGTAATTGAAATGTTACTTTCTCCTTTTGATTCATCGTTTCAAATTGTCATGGGGGAATATTTGGTTTTATTTTTATCCTTAAAATTTTCGAAGCGACAGCATCGATATTAATCTCAATGAGCCGTAGTTGCGTTGAAAGGAACTACATCAAAAATGAATCATAGAAAAAAAAAGAAGCACGCAATCTTTGGTTTTAACCCGTTTGTACATAGATCTATTAGAGTCAAATACGTCCTATTTTGAGCGTTTGGTTGGACATCACGCTGCAGCAGAGTAAAAGCACAAAATATGAAATAATAATTTAAAGTGATTTGGAAATCATTAAATTTGACACGGAATCATCTGAATATTTACAAAACACACAGTATGTTTTCCTTTAATACACATTTTTCCCCCATCGATTTAGATGAGGATAATTCATGCAGAGTGTGCAAACATTGCAAAATCATAAGTTGAAAAACGCTGACTCCGTGAGTTTAAATATTAGATCCGAACACGGGGCTGAGCGTTAAGCTGCCAGCGCGTGTCGCGCACTGGACCCTATAAACCTTACAGGGATACTTCACGCAGTGCGCAATGCGTGAAGTATCCCTGTTAGGTTTGTAGGCGCTAGTGCGGCAGTGCGCGTTTCGCGCTGGCAGCTTGCCGCGCCGCATATTTTTAATTATTTTGTCTTTAAAAAAGAGACAAAACAGGAAGAAAATTAGCATGTTTGATTGCTTGGTTCGCTATAGATCATGTGAAAAATTGCACAATACGGGCACCGATACAATGTTTACGTGTGCTTGCACTAAAAGAACACCTGAATTTTTGGATTCTGCAGAAACATTTTTGAGACTGACTGTCATAAACCCGAAGATGACGCTAACATTACATCAGGTTAGCTGCGGGAGAGTTAATGAAGACAATCTCCAGGTCAGCTACGGTTTCATAATAACCAGTTGTGTGGCGCACTTCAGGCTATTGAGATCAATGAAAAAACTCTAGTTTCAATGAAAGGAGAGTTACCGACGGAGGAAAAATGCTCAGCAGGCCAGTTCACGCCGTTTGTCAATTGAATTTATCCT